ATATGGAAACACTTCCATAATTTCCAATACTATACTTCCAACTACTCGCAAGCGACCAATCCTCGTCGAACTTTGGATTGTCCTTTGATAGTTGTTTAATTATTTTAGTCAAAACCAATTCTAGTCCCTTTTCCCTCTAAATGCACTATACATTTGGAAAATTTTAGAATGGTCAAACATTAAAGCATTCGCAATCGATCCTATACCCGAAGCGTATGGGACACGACGCATAATGTTTTATTTGCTATGTTCTCAAAACTCGAATTGCGAAGAGGAATGCCGTAATCACAATCGAAATTTTAAGAACACACTATGTACCTTTGACTAAATTTATTAACATTCCACAACCTAATCCTTTAGATTTGAAATGAAGCATAATATTCTCTCCCTTAATTATAGCAAAACAACCTTTCAACTCTTACAACTTTGCAAAGTATGACTCTTGTTTTCTATAATTAATATTGCCAACTATGCAATACGTGCCTTAATAATCATACAATCATAACATTTATGCTCCCACTATCATGATGATTATTATAAAACATAACACTTATGCTCCCACTAGCTTCGACATGTATTCATAAACATCTTAACTTTCAGAAAAACAATACTTATTGAATTTCTTAAGTTCATGTTTCTAATACTTAGTGCTTTGATAATCTTTTATCAAGGCTTCTTGAACTTATACACTTTTGCCTTAGATAGTTCATATGTGTGTCTTAACAATTAAGACTAATTGCCAAACCTCACAATTCAAATTATGGAAAGGGATGCCGTAACCATGATCGAATTTGAGAATGCAATTTTACAATCACTATCTTTTAAAATCTTTCTTAGTGAAAGCATTTTCTCACAATCATTTTCATGAAGGAGGAAATCTTATGACACTTAGATTTAAACGGTGTATGTGTTCCTATCCATGCGAATTTGTTAAAACCAAAGTTTACGACAAATTCAAACTCATATGGATCGAACTTTCTTAATCTTGATTTCTTGCCTTATGGTAGCACAGCTGCCCACCACGTCTTCCAAGTAGTTAAGCATCTTACCTTTTTCCTATCAATGTACCTTTCATTGATCAAGGTCCTTGCCTTTTACGCATTCAAATGAGAACTCATAGGACTCACATGCATAATTAACTCGATTGGATTGGCACAGAAACAAAATAATGTCTTTACGATAGGTTGTAAACCTCAACTCGTGTGCTAGTGATGATCGATAAGGTTTATTTGATTTGTTCTTGAAACTTTTCGAGACCATTAAGACTCCCACTGACTCCTTGACATATAAGATTCTTTTGTCAATAAACATTTCTTGACAAACAAATTTTCAAGAGTTAGTGTAGCTTGTATCAAAACACTTCATAAATTGGTCATAGTTGGTCTTTGTCTTATCCAAGACATCACAACTTTCCACATTTGATGAATGTTATAAACCTTTAATACTTTTTACTCATTGTCACAATCTTAACTTTAAGACTTGTTATTGGAACAAAGTATGATTGTCTTCTTGATTTGACCATTTCATCAATCTTTGATTCCTCTTCTTGGACATACAATTGTACCAAGACTCACTTAGAGGATCAATTGAGATATGGTTCTTAATCATTAAGACCTATCATAAAGCATAAAAGCCACTCTCCCTTCTTCTTAGAATGGAGAAACTCTTATCTTTCTGCCTATTTGATTCTTCTTATTCGTTTTGCTATTGATCTAAACCCTTTAATCAATTCAAAATTACACTTAATCTTGTAAGTATAATCATATTTACTAAACCTTTAGTAAATGATGACGAATATCTTTGTTACTCTTATGGTGAACTTGATCAACACACAACTTTGTGTACTCGATCTCCTAGTCCTTCACTTGACACTTTGTCAACGAATTAGTCTAATTATCAAATATGAAATTTCTCATTCATCATGCAACCAAGTTGCATGATTCCAAGTTTCTGTCCAATTGAAACTTGGGCGATGAGAAACTCTCCCTATTTGGTAAATTCTTGACTTTCCATAACACAATAAGAAACAAATCCATTATTGCTAATAATTTTAACATCAATTTTTCATACACGCCATTGTAAGGATAAATAAATAAAATTTAAAATCAAAATTTATTTTATTGCGGAAAAATTTGTCCTTCACAATGCAACTCATTGAAAAACTTATGCGAATACATCTTTCTTAGCAATCTAATTCTAACTCTAAGTAGTAGCTCAAGAATCTAATCTTCGAGAAACGCAATCGAAATCCATTCCTTCACGGTTAGATTCTGCTCACTTCTTCCCTTAAGCTTCTTTTCTTTTCTTTGATCCTTCTAAACATCAATTGTAATCTTATCACATTATGTATTCAGAACCTAGAATGAAGCTTAAAAGAGTTAGTCAATGGATTTTACCTAAATTAGAGCCATACGTTTCGACTCTCCCATCTCTTAGATCTCTTAGGTAAATAGGGCAGCTTCGTCTCCAATGCCCCTTCTCTTGGCAATAAAAGCAAATTGACTCTTTTTGGAACAACACATGGAACTACTTCAGACATCGCCTTTCTCTTATGATCAAACTTTTCGATCATTGCATGTCTTTCATTGCCATTGTCTATATCCACAGAGGTCTCGAAGGCAGATTCACCAATCAACTTTGCTTTTCTATTGCGCCAAACCATTGCTGATTCAGCAGCAATAAGCATATAGGTGAGATCTATAAGGGTCACGTCGCGGTTCATCATATAGTACTCTCTTACGAACTCACTATATGAGTTAGGAAGTGATTGAAGAACCCAATCAACAGCCATCTCTTCACCGACAATGGATCCTATCATTCTTAGTCTATCAATGTGCGACTTCATCCCTAGGACGTGTGCACACACCGACTTTCCTTCTTTATGTTTACTTGCCAAAAGGGCTTGAGTGATATTGAACTTTTCAATTTTACAATCTTGTGGGTTAGGGAGAATAATTGGAGGAGGAGGAGGAAGTGAAGCATGATTTCTTGTTCCTCGATCGAATCGTGGAATATCATCTTCATGTGGAATGCTTGTTCCACGGGATTTGAGAAGACCATAGTTGTCGAACTTTGACATCGGGAGAAAAACGAATTCAAGTTAGTTGATTGATTGAGTCCTTGGTAAATCACCCAAATGAAATTCCAAGGCTAGGACCCAACACAATATCCTACAACTCGGGAGAGGGATGCCGTAACCCAAATCGCAGAACATTTGAAGGTAAGTGAATGACGATTCACTAGTTTCCACCATGAAAAACGAAAAAGAAATTTAAGTTTTAAATCTATGAAAACTCCTAGATCCTTTGAGATTCATTGAACATTTCAATGGCATGTTTAAATCTCGATATGCCCCTCTTGTTTGTGACTGGGATGCCGAGGATCACAAAGCGGGTGTGAATAACCATGCAAACTACATGGTGCCCTCACATGTTACAATCACCTATTCGATGTGCCGGTAAACCACACACGCTCCACCGAACTATGACAAACATTGAGTCACCCTTTGCTACCTTTGCTTAGAACCATTTAGTGTGCCGGTAAACCACACACGCTCCACTAACGTCTTCGCAAGGGCACAAAGTGTAATTTCATGGAATTGCATCAATTCACTTTTGCCTAAGTAACTAAGATTGGGAATTTGCGAAACATTTAGTTACTTGTATTTCATTATACTTATAATGGAAGGTTTCGTCCTATCCTACCCGTTCGGCTAACGACCCTCCACTAGTCAAGAGTGCGGTGGGTAAGAGTGGATACCCATTCAATCGCCATTTTATAGGCAATTTCCTTAAACACCCCTTATAGACCAGCTTCGTGAATGAGGCCTACTAACGGTAAGACTGACTTTTACTCATACATATATATAATGTTAGACTTTTAATGTTATATATAGTATAGGGTGTATTTTATACTTTTAAAATACTATATGGTTAACTTTAACAATTACACTTTTAATTCAATTAAAGGTTAACCTAAACTTTTATGGATTTATTAAACCTCTTTTAATTATACTCCTTAATTAATTAATAAAACCATAAGGGTGTGATTTGAACTTTTCAAAACATTACTAGAGTTTTAGAATTTAACATTTCTAATTAAACCTTTTAATCAACTTTTAAATTCCAAAACTTGAGGGCAAGTTTTGAAACATTTCAAAACATTAGGGTTTTAACTATTTAAATTTCAAAACAACAAAACTTTTGGGGTTCAAATTTAAACTATAAAACCTAAAGGGATAAATTGAAACTATTTCACAAGATAATTCAAATCTAAATTACAAATAATCAAACTTTATCTAATAAAACAAGTGATTATCTAAATTTTGACAATTATCTTCTATTTAGGTAAGGATAATCACATAATAATGAAAAAATTCGGATTTTATCACAAAACAAGTTTATGGTAATTATCCAAAACCAAAACAGGAAGAAAATCGCGAATCGAGCTGTCAGACCTTTGACTCGTCGAGTCTGGGCTGGACTCGTCGAGTACAGCTGACTCGGCGAGTTCACCAAGTGACTCGGCGAGTCAAACCTTCAAAACTCAAAAAATCGATTTTCAGTGCTTATTCGATCAAATATGCATCAATACAATTGAAACCAATCTAGGCTCTGATACCACTGTTGGGTTTTGGTCATAAGACATCCTATGTGCTCATACAAACCCTAATGCTTGGATCTAGGTTTCTCTATTGTACATGCTTTGAATCCAAGACTATAAACCCTAATTCTAGCATACATATAATCATATTAACATGAGAATAAGTTTATAGTGTTACCTTGATTGTTATGTAGCAATAACAATCCCAAATCTCCTTGTATTGACTTTGGAAGGCTTAGAGTCACAAGTGTCACTCCTCTAATGGCTCACAAACACCATAAGCAAGTGGAGAAGGTATAAGGAGAGAAGTGAGAGGTTAGAATTCGTATCTAGGACCTCTTGGGAAGGATACACGAATTCAGCCCTAGGGGTGTTTATATAGGTGTAGAGATAGGGTTTCAGTCATTATCCTTATCTAGTTGATTATCCATTAAGCAACCAATAAGATAATCCTTGAATCCTTATCATACTCGAATTCTAAGGGATTTACACCTCAAATTCGTTCACCATATATATAAGATAATCCTTACCTTATTTTGTAACTATCACATAATTACAATTCAGCCCCTCTAGTTTAATTAATTACATTTGATCACAAAACTAATTCTTAATTAATTATTGACCAATATTAATTAAACAAATATGATTTCTCCTTTAATATATTATTCTTATAACATATTAATAAATCATATTATCCTCTCTCTCTTTATTCATTTCTCCAATCAAGTTGCTTTGGTGAAGGCAACCCAAAAGGACCATGCACCATCGGGTCAAGTACATACCAAAATAGTTATGGACTTAGACATACGGAATGATCCATCTTTCTTCTTAACGAACAAGACCGGTGCTCCCCAAGGTGAGAAACTGGTCTTATAAAAGCCCTTGCTGAGCAGTTCGTTAAGTTGACCA